CTTAATTATTTATAAAATGTCAATTCTACTTTTCAACTTTTGTTATTCATATAAAAAAAATCTATCATAACCCATCATTTACGCCCAATTCGTTGCCTTCCATACTTTTGATCCCCCTTTTAGAGCCTGTTTGGTAAAACTTCCCATTTTCTACAGTAAATCAATTCTTATTTTCAACCACACATTCTTCAATAAAATAATATTTTCCATCACATCAATACTTTTTTCTTCTTTTTCAACCACACATTTTCCATCATATCACTATTCAAAAATCAATTCTTCTCCCCAAAATCCCTACCAAACACACTCTTAAGCATATCCCAAATTTGCAATAATTTCCCACATCTTCTCCATCCTAATCTTCAAAAATCTCACCCACTATCTTTAATTTTTTTAGGCTATTATCTTGTTGTAATCGAAACTTTGACCCTAATTCGAAAATCCCAATTTCCAACATTTTTCGTTTTAAACGGAGTAACACTTTGAACAAGGACATGTCGGCTCCATTCAAGAATCAATTGTATGAAAACACCGTAATTTCGTCTTATTCGTTTGGCCGGCAACAAAACTTGGCTGACGGATTTATTCATGCAGTTGAAATAGGTAGGCTCGAAAATTCTAGTAATTGTCTTTCCTCCTTAATACCCTAACTATGAAAAGTTCCATTCAAGGTGGTGCATGGGCGTGCCCCTGAACTTGATTTAGAACAAGTAAAAGCAAGTCCAGACCAATGAACCACAGACAAATGCATTTCTTTTTTTGTTTAACTTCTTGTGTGTGTATGATATGTTACATAATGTTCAAAAGAACTTGTTTGTTTCTAGCAAGAAAAGCAAAAACAATTCTCAACGCCCAATGAAGAGTTAAACTACTTTGCATTTCATAAATTATTGCAGTTATTAGTACAATTTTATGGAATGTGACATCTGTCGTGAACAAAATGCGTGAATTCTATTGCAGCCTATGTAATACATGGTGATTTAAATACTATGAATTTTTTTAATGTGATAGGGTTTTTAGCGTAGGGGGTGTTTGGTGGGGATTATAATTAGATTTTTAGTAGATTGTGATAGAAGTTTTTGAAATGTGTGGTTGAAAAGCTGTGAAATTCATAAAAGATGTGGTTAATATTGATTGTCTGACTTTGACTTAGATTAAAATCTGATTTTAACCAGAAAAAAATAAAGCCTTAATGTTGCTTGTATTTTTCAAATAGGCAATAACGATAGTCTGATTTGATGTGGATCTTTTCTCATACTATACACATGTAGTATCTACATTTTCTAGAAATGTTTACGTCTATTTAACAACTTATGTCGTTTGATATGATAGTTCATTTATCATGTATAGTTCTATATCATACTTGACATGTGAGTCTACTGCACATAAATTTGATTTTCTACGTGTTATGTGACATACTAGTTCTAGTTTCAATATGACAGCCGTCCGCCGATTTGAATAGTGGAAGTGTTTGATTTACAACTTCTGCCCATAGTTCTTCTGATGGATAAAAACATATGTAGGTGTTGCATCGAATGCAACAAGCTGTGTGACTTGATTTCCATTTGCACGATATATAACAGTTTATGCACAGTGCTATTTATTTTTTAACAATGTATGTAACATATCTATAATTTAAGAAGCTGGAACAAGTATTTTACAACAGTTCCCTCGCTGGTTTTAGGACAACTATATATTATGCTGATCTTTAAGCTGCTTAATGGAATTATTATAACTTCCTGTATCTTTCAACTATATGCTAGCTTTAGTCACAAGTTTATACATATATTATTTAGTGGAAATGTTCTCCTGCCCACGGTGGGCAGAATAAGACTGTCCACATACTGATGTGGTAGTAGAACTCAATATTGGGTTCTCTCCAAATGTGAGAACCCAACGTTGGGTTTCCTCCGAGTGGGCATTATAAGACTTCTCACTGTGGCCAGGAGAACATCTCTGTATTATTTAGAGCCATGGAAGATTAAAAGTTTGTCTTTCAATTTGACAGCAACAAAGATTTGAGTTCGAAGTACTCAATGAACACAATCAAATTTTCACAATGAAAATTATTTCGTTGAAGGCAAAAACTATAGTTAGTAGACATCTTGAAAAACTATTTCTTATATATCTCAAATTCGATATATAAGAAATAGGTGTTCGCCAAAATTGGTCAAATAAACTTTTAATTCATATATTCTAAGGATTCACAACGCTGCTTAAGTTTTAATTTAATTCCAATGCAAGCACTAATCTCCTTATCTTTAAAATGTTTTGAGTTCTAAATATTAGGGCTGTCCGTGGGTCGACTCGATTCGGTTCTGAAGAGACCCGAACTGACCCAAAACTTTCGGGTATTTAAGAAATGGACCCGTCGGGTCCAAATGTAATTATAAAACCGTTCGAGTTCGGTTCGGGTCAGTTCCGTTCGGTTCGGTTCCGTACTATAATTAATTTTTTTAATATTTTCAACAACACTACATAAATACAACTAATGACATTTCATTCGTAAATTTTACAAATTAACATAACCCAATTCAAAAACATATACATAACTAGTCGTCCAATAAGATTAATTCAATGCATACAAATACCAAAAAGTAGATATTTATATTACAGCAAAACTATATAAAGTATATTCATTTGCTTCAAATTAAAATTGGCAAATGGATTTTAAAAATGATTTGGGATTTAAAATTAAAATTATGAAATAATCTAATTTATTTAATTAATTTGCTAATTTGTATAGAAAAAATAAAATAATTTAATTAATTCAATATAAAAAATAAAAAAATTTATTTAGTTTCGGTTCTTCGGTTCTTGGTCTAGACCCGAGACTCGACCCAAACCCATCGGTTCTCGATTCGGGTACCCGTTCGGGTATTTAATTTATGAAGAACCGTTCGATTCGGTTCGGTTCGATCCGGTTCGGTTCGGGACTTTTGGACACCCCTACTAAATATATCCTTATTGTTTGTTACTAGCTAATCTAACTACGTTTCTTGGAGCATGCATCAATCAACTTTACCTTGGGTGAATCGAATCGGCAAATAAAATAAGAAAAAAAAGAAGAAAATGAGTATAGAACGTCAGTCGAAATGTGCAAATTCTCTTGATCATATATTGAGGTTCTCTACTTAAAAGGGATCACTTTACATACAGGTGATTAGGAGTAAATGCTTTGCTTGCTTGCTTGCTTCTTCTTCCATTTCTAGCTATTTCCTTCGAAATATTTAGTTGTCTTATAAAAGCAAAGTTTAGGGGACTGTTCTCTTTGTGCTTGAGTTTTAAATTCATTTTGAATTTTGTATTTTGAGTGTCTATTTTGAAATTGTTGAAAATTTGTTCTTTTTGTCATTTGTCGTTTTGAGTTTTCTTTATAAATTTTTAACTTGTTTTCAAAAACGTATTTTCCAAAATGGGGAAGAGAACGTGTTTTCATTATTTTCAAAAATCGAAAATAGAAAACGATTTGAAAATGGTAAACAGAACAAACCCTTAGCTTTTTAGATTTCAAAGGTTATATTCTTGTATTAAGAAGAAGATTGAAGCTTGCACAGCAGAAACGGGATTTGATTTCTAAATTAGTATCGTCCTTAGCAAGAGTTAATACCCTAAATAGTCACCGAACTTTGCCAAAAGTTCCCAAGAGGTCATCGAATTTCAAAATTTCCCTAATTAGTCACTGAAGTTTGCAAAAAGTTTATAGGAGGTCACTAAACTTCAAAACTATCATAAATAGTCACTGAACTTTGCTAAAACTTCCTAGGAGGTCATCGAACTTTGCAAATTGTGACCTCATACATTAATGATTTAATGACCCTCTATGAATCTTTTGCAAAGTTGAGTGATTAATTATAACAGTTTTGGAAAAATTCAGTGACTATTTATGGTAGTTTCAAAGTTAAGTGACCTCCTAGGAACTTTTTGCGAAGTTTAGTGACTAATTAGGAAAGTTTTGAAGTTCAATGACCTCTTAGGAACTTTTAACAAAGATTAGTGACTATTTAGGATATTAATTTGAATTTGCCTATATCTTCAATCACATTTGAATTGTGGGCATGTCACTGGCTATTGATGTGTTTCAGTCGCCAAAAAATTTAGAGATTATGGGAGTCAGTAATATTGGATTATTTTTGTGTAATATGTAGTATATAAATTATCATATAGTATTTCGTGAATTATAATTTTTTATTGGTTATATGTGAATTTTTCCGTAAATTATATATATAATATAGCCCTGTCACAAATTATAACCTCTGTTTTTTTTCCTTAAAAGTCGAGTTTTGAATAGTGTTTTAGGAGAATGAGTTGTTAAAAAATAGCAAAAAAGTTTGGATTTATGTGTGTAATATTTTATTGTATGAATGTGTTTGAAAATATCAGAAAAATGTGTTTTAAAAGAATGGGAATCAATCAGGGGCATAATAAACAATACAACCATCCAAGGCACCAAACCAGTAAAGAAATTATTCCTATAATTTTGGGTCAAGACTTTCTTTCTTTTCACTTTGCCTGCAGATATATTTTAATAATTTTTCTCATCATTTAATTGTCAAATTTCGGTAGACAAAATTCAAGTACTTCTATCTATTGAAGTCTACATTTCAATATTTCCAAACTCAAAGAATGAGTAATAACAATTCCAAAAAAAAAAAAAAGGCAATTTCAAACCCAGTAAGTCTCAAATATCTACTATATTGGTACTAGCATTGCTAATAAGCGCGCCTGGGGCTGGAGCCGACATCCCAATATGCGCCAGAGGGGCGGGATTTAGCGGTCCGAGCTAGGCCACCCAACCCATTTTACACCCCTACACAAAATTTATATCTCATCCATAACCAGGCAGTTGTAAGTATAACCATTAAGTATTCAAAAAACATAAGCATGCTCCTTTCGAGTATAGAGCAGTAAAATGTAATTCCAGAATACACCTTAAAACCAAGTTGTTGAACCTCATTCCGCTTGCAATGTGACATCAAAGTCACCAGACTCAGCACCTATCAAGTAATAGACGACTTGCAAACGGGGCAAGATGTCCTTCTCCTCAACCATGGATCAATACACTGTTATGTTTAGAAAAATATAAGACAAGTAGCAGTTTTCAAGGTAGATTAATAACAAAAGTGGATCTTAGAATTTCGTACATCTTTGTGAAATTTGTGTAAACAGGGGAGGTGGCGAATAGTATCTCCTATGGTTGGAGTTTCAAGACAAATTGCACAAGCTTCTTCAAAGTTAGCATTCTGCACAAATACAAAACGCAGGTAATGAACAATTATTTGCAGATAGTTTCATTTCTTAACAGATAAAATCATGAAAATTACCTGCACTGTTGATTGTGGGAGGCCATTAATCAGGTGTGTAGATGCACCGCCATGCTGATCATTGTTATCATCAAGAGCCAATAACATTTCATAGTCGGTCCTATCAAATTCCAGCAAGAAAAATTAGATGCTAGAAAAAAGTTTCTTCAAATTTCATATTTTGCATGAACTCCATCATGATTCTACTCAACCTAAAACGCTGTCTCCAAACTACTGGGGCAAACATATATCACTCGTAAATTAACACACCCTCACCCCCTTGTGATCTTATCAACAAAAATTATGTCATCGGAGAATAAAACATGCCAGACCTCATCTTGAACGTGTCTTGTAAGCTCCAGGACTAAACACGGAACACAAGGACATGAGGTAAAAAGTTCGTGCAAATAGTGAGAGGAAATTTTCTGCTAATGTTGCCGGCCCATCAATACATCTCACACAACTGACTGATGTATAATCATTAGTTCCGACCCATACGAAAGGCATAACTATCTGGGCTACATATAACAACAACAATATAATCAGGCTCAAGCAGGTTTTCCAGGCTAATTCCAAATTTGATCCCAAATACATAGCACCCTAACAAGGTACCAGTTGGGTTAGAGCAGACATCCTGAAAAACCTTGCAATTTTCTTCCCTAGATGAAACAATGAGGAAGATGAGGAAAACAACATTAACAAGCCAAAACAATTTTGTTGAATTCTAACAGGTAAATTACATGTCAGCAATTAATGGAATCATCCTCCTTCACCAAACATAAATAAACTTGTCAAACCTGAAGGTTAGTTATGTAAATTACATGCAATATACTAGCAATATTTCAAAAATATGCACTAAAATAAATCTTACTCGTTGAAATCACGCTGTATTTGAAGGGCACTCCTATCCACTCCCATGTCGCTGAAGGCCTCCAATGTTTCCAGTATATGCATCCTCTGCATTCATGAAAGTGGAACAAGGTGTTATCAGAAGCTACAACATTTCACAACTATATTATATCTGCATCCAGAAAAAGCAAATCTTAATAGAACACCATACAGGCTTACATGAAAAAGCCAGAAGGTGAAAGAGATATCTTCACCTTTTAATCTTAATGCATATATATAAACAATGGAATAACTAAAAATAACTTCTCCCACTAAAAATAAATAACAATAATGTCATTCCTACAACCATGGATAATGTATCCAATAGCTCTTCCGAGGAGCTTTGGTGCTTCAAATAAAAAATGAAGTATCACTATACAAATTGATCACAAATCCTTAGTTAAAGCCAGGAATTGGTCTGTTAAAAGGGATAACTTCTTCCCTTTTCCGTTTCTCTTAAAAGGTAGTTTTTTAAAGGGATGAAATGTCATCTTAAAACCTAAAACATATAGTATTGCAATTTATTTCTTGATGATCACAATTTCTAACTTTTCTATTCAATTGTGTGCTTCCAACTAAGCTTGATAGCTTCTCTTAGTTATTGCTTTGGCTATTATAATGCGCACATATTCTTATACCTTAAATAGGTTGAGTCCACCTTTACATGGTACATATAGTTCACACACATTGTATAGTTGGAGATGATCGTTTCCACAAAAAATAATAATAGAAACATCAAATACATGACCTATTGAAGCAAAATTACATAGTTAGCTGGTCCACTACCGGAAATAAGTAAGGCATGATCCAAGTAATTTTAATATCAAAACATCAACTATTCAAATAGAAAGCATCAATTTAACTAGTACTCCAAAATCAAATATAAATAACAGATGTAAAGATATGTATATATATATAAAATACCATAACGACATGGAATATAAGATAATACCATGTCGACATCCATGCTTGCAGGAAACAGGGAATTTCTTCCTCTCGATTGTGATGATAGGGTACGAGGTTGTCCAGGAAAACGACCCCTCAACCTTGTCGTTCTACCAGACGTGGAAGCTCGAACTTGAGATCCTCTACGTGAAAAGTTCAGTGAAGATCGAGAATATGATTGTCTACGTAAGTTGGCTATCAATGAATCTCTCTGCATAAAAGCATCACAACATCTATTTCAGAGAAAAAATTTCAGCCCAAGGAACAAACAATAATACATCCAATAATTTGTATACAGAAGGCAAATTATCAGGATTGGCTGGTTGCAACTAAACATTGACACAAATAAAAAACTGACAATTTTACAAAGGAACACAGTTAAGTATGAATTTTTTATACCATTACGTTTATGATTAATTAAAAAAATTTCCACCTTGAAACGCGCATTGGACATGAGCTTGAGGACTGAGATGCCCTCTAGCTAAAGCATCAAAAAAACAGAAATGCAAAAAATCTCAGGATATCAGGTTACTAAAAAAGCTCGTCATGTCATAAACTAGGACAAACATTCCTCTGTTGCAAAATGTTAAGGAAATCAAAAGTTTTCTCTAAAGAGAGACGCTTACAGGATCCAATGCCTGGTTACTGCCTCGAGAAACAGTACGACCTGATTCCTCCTGCTGCAAAGCCAATGCTATATGCTCATCAACCTATCATCATATTGGAGGAAGCATGAATAGAAAGATGAAATTTAAGTGATTGATTATAGGTAAAAATGTTAATAAGAATCTGCAGGAATTTGTAAAAGAAGAAAGAACCTCGCCAACTCCAAGAACAGGCATTTCATTGTAAAATTGTTCTTGAAGTTCCCGAGCCAACATTTCATCTGCTTCAAGCTGTCTCGCCCTAGCATCTTCGCCGTATGACTCACGTTTCAGTTCAGGAGAATCATCGATTTCAATTATTGGTTGCAAACGGCTTGTACCACTGGAGGTTGATCTTGGATTTGATGATTCCCCAGACGAGTTAAGAAACACAATTTCTGAGTCATCATTGGTTGATGTTGAACCTTCAACAGAACTAATTGAGATAGGTCCTTGCTTTCGCCTTTTCATTAGTGTGTTGGCTGCAGAATGATGCCCGTTGCATTGGGCCAATCGAGGCCTAGGATGTGATACTGTTTCTCCAACAGGTTGAGCAGGAACAAGCTGAGAAGAGACTAAATCAGGATGCCTATGATAGTCACCATCAATCGCAACGCTGCTTCCTTTTTCCTTCCTTGACACCCTATTCTCATGGTGTTTCCGAACACATTGTGACACATCTATTTCTCTAGATGGAAACCTTTCCTCATCAGATGAACGTAAACTCATCTTTCTAGTCCGATTATGTGTACTTCTCCATCCACTTGATTTTTCAATGCTTTTGGATGCACCACTGATGTTGTCAGGGGTTTCCATATCCTTCTCATTGATACTCAGAGAATTCCTGCAAGTATACAATTGTACGAACATCTCATGATAATGAGGACGAATGGTAAATACACCTTTTATAGCAATTAAAGCAAATTTGAATGGACCATCTATCATGCTAAAAAACCTGATCCAACCAACACAAAACATACTAGAGATACATTAATCATGGCAATCAGATACAAACAACTTTGCACGTCTAGAGAAGGAGAACATATAAACACTTGTACGTATCTTCTCCAATTCAATGGCGTAACTCAGGATATTTCTCACTGGCATCATTAAAATAATTTGTCAATATGTTATAATCTAGTCTTAGAAATTCTTAAGAAAGATACATTCCCCAAAATATTTAAAACAGACACGGTAATAATAATAAAAAAAATTGTTCGAACTCATAAGTTTTTCAAAGAAAATATTTGGAACTCTATCTTCAAGTAAATTCTTGAAGGACCCAATATATACTTACATAGGCATACACACATATTAACATGTACATTTTTGTAACATAAATCCATAGATCTACGTAGCAGACTATTGTCCATTTATTCATTTTCTCATCATGTTGAAACTTGATTGGTGATAGAATATACCAAAAACTCAATTCTTCTCGTTCTACTTGAAGTATAAAATTGACCCCTAACCCCGGTCTGTTACGTTTTTCTCCAATTTTTGTGGATCATTTTAGAAAATAAAATACCTGAATCTAACACGTGTTTATCCTATCCTGTTAATACTCCAGATAATTATCCATCAAACTTCCTCTCATGCCTATAGAAGTGATCTCATATCATGCATCATCTATAATTCATATTGGAAGTTGGCAGATGAGAACAATTTGACTGGAGAGCTAGGAAGAAGATGAATCATCATGTGACGCAGGAAGACAAGCGTGGAAGGTGAAAATGTGTTCAAATTTTCAATATAGACAGTTTGTCCAAGAAAATAGGTCAACCAAAGGGACAACTTGGATTAGATATGAGAAATTTTGTCAGCTTCTGAAGTGCTAAAGACAACATACAATGAGGGCATAAAATATATTTTTTCAGACTCCTTTTATCGAATGTGAAGCATTAAAAAGGAATTCACACTCCATTTCACTAAAATTTTTGGTGAAGCAGATATTAAAATCATGTATATTTGACTCCCTACATACCATAAACTTTATAGGTTATGAACCGCTACAGGAAAGAAGTCATAAATTCTGAAATCAAATGGCAAACACCATCCTCAGAATATAACCTTAAAAGTTAATCCAACAAAACCTGTAAATTTAACTTCTATTTTCTTCCTAAATGTCCAAAATAAATGAATTCAGATTAATTAATAAATTTCCCATGAAGATATTTTCTTTTCATTTTAATGGTCTACGAATTTCTCATAATAATTTGCTATGGCTTAAACATTAGGTAAAGGACTTTTTTCCTTCCCTTTTTGTATTGATTTTCTATTAATAGGGTTTCTCAATATGTTAGGTTTCTCCATGTACTAGGCTTCTGAACTTCAAAAAGAACAAAAAAATTATGTTAACAAATATGGGGAAAAAGGTATGCCTTTTTGTGTAGCTCGAGGTTTTCTTTTTTCCCTATCACTATCAAGGATAAAAAAAAATGATTGTTTATTGTGAAGAGTTTTGTCATTTTTTCTTTTATTTCATATCGAGGTTTCCTTTCAATTCATTAAGATCTTATCAATTTTGTAGAGTCGGTTGAATTACTCAAGGAAATTGGTCCTTTTTCTTGATTCAGTTGATTTACTCAAGGATTGTACACATTTTAAATCAACACAAACAGATTTGGCCAAAGATCGATCACCACAGATATGATGTTTTTCTATTAAAAGTAATTGCATGTCTGATAATGCAAACAACAAATTCAAAATGTTCAATTAAAAAAAAAAAAAAAACTACATAATAAAATAAGTACCTGCTCAATAAATGCTTGTTTTTGTTATCAAGCTCTTTTTCTGGATAATTCATCACTCCCTTTCCCTTTCCTTTATAAGAATTATGGTCTTCAGCAACCAATTCCTTTATATCATTCCAAACCGGTGGGCCAGTAGATGCCATAGATGTAGTATGAGCATGTGCAACAGCCACAAAACCATTATCATCCTTTCTAGCCAACTGTTTGGCCTTAGCTATGTTATGTGGAGATATACATCCATTTCGAACCAATCTCTTTTGCCTATTGATTCTAGGCGAGGAATTGGGATCAAGAACTGGAAAACCATATTGTCCAGGTTTGTTCTGAATATTACTAACAAATTCAACCCTTTCTCCATCATCAATACTTGAACCAACTTTATTCATATTTTCCGTTCTTTCACTGGCTTCTTGTGACATCATTGAAAATTTTGCCATGTTATTTGAAGAAGGCACATTTGCTAAGCCTGGTCTTATTCTAAAATCATCAACTTGATTGCTCCTAGGTGCCCCACCTGAGGAAGCTTTTCCAAGTAGAGTACTGGGCACTTTCCTTTGTGTCGGATCAACAAAACAACCATCTTGAGAAGATGTTGATTTTGAAGAACATGAAGGTCTTTCATTCTGTACATGCCGAATATGAATAGAATCATGGCTTTCATCACTAGGGTTCTTGTCAGCCAACCCTTTCCGAAATATAGGAGTACTTCTGGAGGAGGATGTACTGCCTCCGATAAAAGCAGGAGAACTACTGCGACGTAGAGCATCTCTGGAACTTCTATTACCATTCGGAGGACGGATGGATAACTTTTTGGTCCTACTATCGATTAACATTGGCTGATTTTTAGTCCCTTCATTAAAAAATTCCTGCTTTCCTGAATGACAAGACATGGAAAGATCCTTTTTTTCCTCCCTAACACTACTCCTCTCATTAACTTTATTATTGGCTAATCTATCGGGAGTGTCAGGAACATCTACTATGTGATCACCATCCATGTGATCCATGATCTGCACAACCCATGCCAGTTTCAATTACATAAAAGTTAGCTCTTCTCAATAAAATTCAGCAATTACATTCAGATCAATTTTCAAGACATCATCTCAACAATCTAACATCATATCAAGTTCAAAATATCAGAAAACAAATGATCAAGAAAGCATAAATCACAAGTGATATCAAGAAAAAGGGTCCAAGCAAAATCAAGATGAATAATTTTTCAATAGATGGTAAGCCTGATTACAACATTAAAAAGCACAGAAACTTATGATGTCCATAAACCTACATCAATTTCGCACATAAAATGTTTACCATCGGTTGCAAGTTCTGACACTATAGGTAATTATATCAGTTATCTTCATAATCTAAGAACTACTAAAGTTTCTTCTAACTTTGCAACAATGCGACTTGGCACAAATATGAACATACATATAGATAATCGAAACTTAAATAATGGAAGAGACACGCAACAATTCTATGCTGCATTTTCAATAAAGAAAAAAAAAATTTTAATTACCAGATCTGAAGAGCTCAAACTTCAATGCAAATCATTGAATTGATTATTTCAAGATTAAAAAAATATTATGAAAGAAAAGTCATATACTATCATTTCAGAAATTGAGAAATGAACAAACTCATGTTGGAAGAACCAAATAAGGAATGTCAACAATCAGAGAACGCAGCATTGTGTTGGATATATGAATTTGCTACCCTTTTGAGTTTCATTACAGCAAATTCCAAGAGAAATGAGATAACGCAAAAATGAGACTTAAAGATCCATAAAAATGAACCTTTAAAGGTTTCAATCGGTGTGATTAAATTGGCTTGCCCAATTTAAGATTTCAAATTTCATTAGCAGCAAAACAGCAATGCGGAAACAAAAAATCTCGTAAAAATTGCTAATAGTGATTGGGTAAAGGATGAAACCTTTAAGATGTTTCCAAGAAAGGAGCGTGAATTAAAACAAGATGATATACCCAATTCAACATTTTGAATTCTAATGATCGAAATAGCTAAATAAATAAACAATTAGGAAAAAGTTCAACCTTAAAAAAAATGTTAACAACGAAAAAAAAAGGATATTACACTCACAATTCATGATTTTAAATTTCAAGAAAAACAACTGAAAAAAAAATAAAATTAGGAAAAACATCAAATCGATAGAACCAATACTAAACATATAAATAACATACTCAGTTCTATGATTTAATTTTAACTCTAAAAATTATTTAATTAACTGGAAAGACTCATATCTCTAAAGGGTATTCAGAACTGCCAAAAAAAATCAAGTTGAAATCGAATATTAAAAAAAAAAAAAAAAAACAAAAACTTAAAAAAAAAAAAAAACTAAACGGGATAGTAAACGGGGCAAGGGCTTCGCCCCGCCTTGCCTTAAACAGGTATCGGGGCAAGGGAGGTTTCCCCAACCCCGCTCCGCCCCGTTCTCATCCTGACACCGGGTAGAATAGTGATTATTCTGTAAGTTGGAACCAATTGATAAATATAGAGAAGAAAGCAAGAGAAACATCAAGAGAAACGAGAAAATTCTTTATTATTAAACAATTGCGCAAAAATAACCCACAAGTCGGGTTAAATAGTTTGAAAACATTAATTATCAGAATTTTACCAAAAATAGCAAAATTCTATTATTCATACCAAAACGAAATACGTAATGAAAGGAAGAAGATCCCAAGAATCTGGCTAAATTTGAGATTGTAATCTATGTCAAAAATATAATCGAAATATTACTAAAAATTGCAAAAAATAATTTAAATTGATGATTCGGACGGGAAAACAGTTGAATTTGGCCTCGAAACAGATGCACAACGAGAATAGCTGGGTGCCCACGACGTGCCGCCGGAAAGAGCTTTCCGAATTGGGGTCGTGGGCGTGATTCTGACAATCGTAGCCAAAGTTATGGCAAAAATACCAAAACGTGTCCAAAAGCGGCTCCAATTAGGAAAGATCGATGATTACTTGCTATTCTTGCGCTGATCCGCCAACTCAGGATATCTCAGCACCATTAACGAACTATCAGACAGCTC